GCAGGGAGGGGGTAGCTCAGGATGCAGAGAGAGGGGGTAGCTAGGGGCTGTGTGTCTGGAATGGGAGGGTCCCTGCCCCTGCGGGAGCTGCTCCCTGAAGTCTCTGCCGGCCCTGGAGCCAGATCCCAAAATGGGGCAGGGAGCTGAGCAGCAGCCATAGCCCTAGGCGGCAGCAGCAGCAGGAGACAGAGGAACAACACAGCTGCCTGCTCCATGCACCAGCCAGAGCAGCAGCCGCCCTGCACTGTACGGCTCCTCCAACTTGGGCGGGGGGAAGGGGCGTGTGTGGACCTAACCAGAGAGTGGCAGTCCTGGGGGCAGGTTTGGGGGGATAACGCCCCCCCTGTGCCTTCCCCCATCTCTGCCCATGGGCTTGGGGCTTCTGCCCCATGGGGCGATGGGGATTGTGGACTCCCTGAAACTGGCTTGCAGACCCCCAAGGGGCCACAAATCCACCGTTGAGAACCGTTGCACTAGATGGAGATGCTATCCCTGGAGCAGAGCCTAGCACTTGCAACTTTGAGCATGTACCCAGACCCAGTGCACATGCCGAGACCCTCTAACTCAATGGCTCTCAACCTTTCCAGACTAGTGTACCCCATTCAGCAGTCCGATTTGCTCACATGCACTGCTATACCTCCTACCTCTAGTTTTTCTGTGCACACATAACTCATGATGTCCTGAGCAATATTGTCATAGTTTACCTGGTCTCCCCCATCTGTCTATATCCATCTGTTGTCTCTTGTATAATTAGACTGTAAGCCCTTGCGGGCAGGGTCCATCTTTTTGTTCTATGTTTGTACAATGTTTAACACAATGGGGTCCCTGGTCTATACTTAGGACCCCTAGGTGCTACAGTAATACAAATAATAATAGACTTTATGAGTGGACAAATGTCAGTAGGGAACATATGCGAATCTGGCTATTGTTAGTTAAGTTTGTGCATTTGAGTGTGATTTAGAGGAATTGCGTGTGTGGATTGGGATAAATCCAAATTGCAAGTGCCAGGGAATTTGTTCTGAAGGGAGGTATGTTGGTGGTATGTTGAAGTGTATAGATTGGGCCTGCCTAAACTACAGTTTCTCCTTGATTTTTGGTAATGTGTTGGAGGGACTGTAACTGAACAACTTTAAATTACTGTCTAACTGATAATTTGTTAGGTGGTCACATGCAGGGGTGATGACAGGCAACCTTCATCCTTCCCTTGACCTTTTCAAACCTCTTAGTTGTTTTCATACGGTGAAGTATCAACAATTGGACACAGCAGCCCAAATACAGGCACATAGCACTTCTCACTATAACTCTCCATCATTCTGTCTGTATCATATCCTGAAACCTCCCTCCCTTGGTCAGTCACAGATGGGAAGGCTGTTCTTGAAAAATGAATTTCCTTTTTGTTTGTCTCTCTTACCAGTTTCTTTAAAGACTCTCTCATCAGCCTGGACCACAGAGCAGAGGCTATTGAGAACAAGCGTGCCAAGTTTGGTGGCTGTGCGTTCCGAAGATTTGTAGTAATCAAGGGCAGTGTTTGTCAGCACAAACCAGCGTTTCTTCACCTTCAGAGAGGATGTCTTGTTGCTGCTTTGAACTTCCTTATGAAGCCAGCCTAATGGGAAAGAGGCACAATAACCTTTAAGTTATTGGAGAGAGTCACTGATGGGATGTTTGCCCCTCTCCTGCTGGTGGAACCCTTCAGTTCTCCATCCTCTGCTAGATGTGCCCAGATCTCAAGCTCCTGCTAAATGGCATCTGGTGGGCCCTCCAGCTTCCCTTCTACTCAAGATAGCAGTACCCGCCGTGATCTAGTTAATCTCTCTCTAGAAGGATCCATCTCACTGAGCACACTATGGGCACTACTGGTAATAAACTGACATGTCCCTTCCTCTGATGAGCTGTTATAGCCCGAGCCACAACTGGATGAATCTGTTCCCTGCTGCTCAGTGAGAATAATTTCCCCCTTGCCTCCCCATCACCAAGAGTCCTCTCATTTCAGCACACCTCACCTCTTGACATGTGAGAATTTGCTTGAAAGTCATAATCTCCTGTATCCTAACCGGGGACTGAACAGACCATATACAATTCATTGTCCCACTGAAAAGCCAGTGCCAGGTGTTACACACATCATACTGCTGTGGCTCTGTTATAAACCTCACCACAAACTATGGTTACTCAGCATTACAGGAGGCATATTCCCTTTCTCTCAAGAGCCCTGGAACAGCTGATTAGGAAAACCTCATCTCTGTTCCTATCTTCCCCGGAGCAACCCCAGCTCGTAGTGGGAAACCTGCTTGTGATGTAAAGAAGTGCGCAAGCGATGTCAGGCTCTCAGTGTGATGGGATTGGCTAATATCAGCCTATTAGAATTACCAAACCTTTGGTTTCTCCTGAACATGGTTAGAACCAATCCTGTGGGATCCCACTAGAAACACCAGCACTTGTTGATGATTCTCCATTAACAATTACATTTTTATTTGTATCTATCAGTTAGTTTTTAATCCATTTAAAACCATCAAAAAAAATCAACTTTCTGTTGGTGGCATCTGACTCAGATGATGAAAATGAACATGCATCGGTCTGCTCTGCTTTGGATCGTTATTGAGCAGACCCAGTCATCAGCATGGAAGCATGTCCTCTGGAATGGTGGTCATAGCATAAAGGGACATACAAATGTTTAGCATATCTGACACATAAATACCTTGCAATGTTGGCTACAACAGGGCCATGCGAAAGCCTGTTCTCACTTTCAGGGACATTGTAAATAAGAAGCTGGCAGCATTATCTCCCACAAATGTAAACAAACTTGTTTGTCTTAGCGATTGGCTGAACAAGAAGTAGGACTGAGTGGACTTGTAGGCTCTAAAGTTTTACATTGTTTTGTTTTTGAGTGCAGTTACGTAACAAAAAGAAATCTACATTTGTAAGTTGCACTTTCACAATAGAGATTGCATAACTGTACTTGTATGAGATGAATTGAAAAATACTATTTCTTTTTTTTTTTACTGTGCAAATATTTGTAAATATAAAGTGAGCACTGTACACTTTGTATTCTGTGTTGTAAGTGAAATCAATATATTTGAAAATGTAGAAAACATCCAAAAACATTTAAACAAATGGTATTCTATTTTGTTTAACAGTATGATTAAAACTATGATTAATCATGATTAATTTTTAACCGTTTGACAGCCCTACTTCTAATTAAAATTTATTCCTATCAACAACTTCTTTTTTTTGTTTTGTAAAAGATATATAAAATAGATCTGCTGTCACTTCTGTCCTAATACAAGGTTTTTTTTGTTTTGTCTTGTTTTGTTTTTTAAGAGAAGATGCTGCTCTGTCCATGTGTCCTTGTGGAGGGAGGAAAATTTCATTCCTCTCTTTTGGGTTGATGTATGCCATTCTAGTGATGTTATCTGTGTGGATGAGTATGTGATGCTAGTGGAGGAGAAGGGCTAGTTTAATGACCCTTAGTTCTAGCCAGTTTATACTCCTCTGCTTCTCCAAATTTTACCAAATCCCCTGAGCAGTAGAGGTGTGCTTACCATCTGTGACGGCTGGCATTAGTGGTGATCAAGAGTCACCAGCTTTGACACTGGATACTCTATTACAATCTCAAAGGAGGAAGTGACTGAGCTTGGAACAGTGACTCAGATTCTGATTGGTTGCAATTTCTTCCCTATATGGCAGGAGATATTTTTGGAGCATCTTCATCTGAAATCTAGGCCATTGTAGAGTGTACACACATGAAACTAACAGGCTGAGGAGTTTTGCCAGGAGTTTTACTGATGTCTGATGACCAGATGATATTTGGTGAATTAAGAACAGGATTTGCTGTTGTCTTTTGTCTAACACGAACTCCCTGTCTGTCTTGGTGCCCAGGATAACTCCTAAGTGCAGCAGTCACTAAGATGGTTGGAGGTCACTTTACTCTCTATGTTCATCAGAAACCCATGATCCTGTTAGTAGGTTGCTGTCTCCTCTAGACCCTGAATGTCTGTCAGATAGGACAAGGACCTGATGAGGAGATCGTCCAAGTAGGGATGTATGTGTTTCCTCCCCAGTTCTCTCATCATGGCCACTAAAACCACCAGACTCTTTGTGAATACTTGCAGGGGAGTTTCTAGCTCAAAAGGGAGAGCCCTGTAGCGAAAATGCTTTCTGCTGTAACAAGAACAGAAATTTTTGGTAGCTCTCTGTGATTAGAAGAAGAAAACAGGCCTCTTTGAGGTCTATTGAACTCATTAAATCATAGGGTGATAAGAGCCTCAGTGATAGAATAGATTTTAATCTAGTGGCCTCTTCTGGGTTTATCTAGTCTGACCTCCTGTATTACATAGACCAAGACTTCATATTTTTCATGTGAAATTTCAGAGACCCGATGGATTTGTTCAGTGCCCTGAGATCTAAGATGGCTCAAGTTCCCATTCTCCATTGGAGATATCAAAACATTGGCATACACGCCACAAAGTCTCTGTTTTGTTTGTACTGCTCCATGGCTCTGATTCAGAGAAGAAGTCTGTCTGCTTCTTTCACAGTTTGGTGTCTGATTGGGTTCTTTGATCTGGTAGAGACTATGAACTTGCCTCTGGGAGATTGGGTCGGCTCAACGGCACAACACCATAGAGTTGTCTCTAGTACCCTTGTGTCTAAAATAGATGTTTCCCACTTGAAGCTTCCCCCCAAATAAGAGGCCTTCTCAGATATGAGACACTATATGTCAGGCAGATGGTTTCTTCTTTGATGATCTTACAGAAAAGCCTCATGTAATGCTTCCAGACTCGGTGAAATGGGACCATCTACCTCTTCCAGTCTCTTTTTGGGTTTCTTGTGGGCTGATAACCAAGAAAAGAGGATGGCATAATGAATGGAAGGTCTATAGCTCTTCTTAGTTTGATGAAATAGAGGAGATTTCTTCTCACCTGCTACCACTTTGTCCATGTCCTCACCAAACAGCTTGCTCTGAGTACTTGGCTGACGTCATAAGGTGTATTGCTTGCATATATGCTTTCCAAAGGTGGATCCAGAGGTATCTTCGTACTACCACTTTAGAGTCCATGAAGAAAACCACAAATCTAAGGGAATCCAATGAAGCATCTACAACAAAGGAAGCTGCTAGCTAGAACTTGTTCAAACTTGCTTTCAGTTTTTTATCTCGAACCAGGCTTAATTGCGTTATACCATCGATCAAGGCTAGAGTAGCCCTGACAAAACAAAAGGCTACTGAAGAGTCCAGCAGGCCTGAGGTCTCAGGGTTTTTTCTAAGAGATGCTTTGTTTTTTGGCCTGTTGGTTCTTATAATAAAGTCTCCCTGTGAAGTGATTAGTGTCTTTGACCAAGGCAGTGACTACTGCATCCACCTTTGGCAAAGTAACAATTTTTATTGTCTTTCAGTAAGGAACAGAACTACTGGATCTGTCTGTTGGCTTTGCTAGGGAACTCCCACCGAGCTTTGACTGTGTCTTCAAATATCACAGTGGAGTGGAACACAATTCTTTCTTTGCTTCAGCTAGAAAGTATTTGAGAGGCCTTCTTGGACTTCTTTGAGTAGTGGTGGTTCGTGGACTGTTTCAGGGAGCATTTCCACTGTGATTAGCACCTTCCATAACATACAATTAATTATTTGAGGAGGGAAAAGAGTCTCAAAAATCCTCCTCTAGTGCTGCCTGGTCTGAGATAGATAATTCCCCCTCCTCCAAGGAAATCAAACTGGATGAGGAGGAGGAAAAATTTTACTTCTCCTTGTTCCTATATCTCAGATTATTTTAGCCTATGGCTCTTCAGACTCCTCCCCAATGGAGAAGACTAAGAGGAGGATTGAGAAGCGTTCTTCTTCTTCGACTTTCCCTTTTTTCTGAGTCCAACAATCCCTGCAGGAGCACCTGCCTCCTCACTTAGCGCAGACTTGTGATAAGAGTCTGAACTGAGGACTCTTTGAACCTGCATGTCTTTTTTTTTTTAACTGATCTTTCTTTTATCTCTGTGGGGATTAGCCACTGGATTCTGCCCTTCAAACAGCTGTTTTAGAAGAGAACATGGGGCAGGTCACCACCCTGTTCCTGAAGTGGAGGGACCTTCAGAAGAAGGGTCCTGATGAACATGTCCCCAAGGGGGCAGAGTTTTAGAGCGTGAGAGAGGGATTTTTCTCTATTTCTTTGGTAGGAGAAGACTCTATGCTTACATAGCCCACCTTTCTGCCCAGAATAAAGTACAGCCACTTCAGGAGACACCCCTGAAGCGGAGGGAGTTAAGGGTTCCAAGGAATGTACTAGTGGAAGAGATGCTAGGTGGTCATTTACCTCCACATTGGCTGCACCAGGGCTGAAAGGACGGATAGAGCTGAAATCCTCATTTGGCAAGTCAGAGGAGAGGATGCTGTGTCACTGGCAGCAGCAATAGTGGCTGCTTTTTCCACAGGAAGTTCAGGCACCATTATGGGATGGAGCTACAGCATTTTTTGCATGCCACATAGTGGGGGGGAGGGACTCTGCAGCCCAATTCCATGGCTCAACATGGAACAGGCCCTAATGCGGATGAGGGGGTTAGAAGACTGCAGGGGAACTGAACCATGCTCATGGCTCTGGGTTGCCCTCTGAGGGGTCACCAACCAGACTCTCTCAGTCCATTCGCAATACTCTTGAAAAGGAAGGAGTAAGCCTTGGGGGGCATTTGCAGTTCTCTTTATTTGTGATGGGCCAAGAGAGAAGGGGAAAACAGGTCTGATTCTGCTGTAACTCTGCCCTCAAGAAGGGCAAGCCAGGCTCAAAATTTCCTGGCCAGTAGAGAGCACCTTTGTTTTAAAAAAAATATATTTAGTTTGGTTTTGGAGTCTCCATTTAGTGAAATTCAGAATTTTAAGAAATCTTATTCCTAAAGACTCTGCTACAATAAGGAGATCCCTGGTCTGCTGTCTGCGTAGGAGTGAAGGCAGAGAACTTTGGAGGTTCTCCACCAAGGGGCAGTCTTGGCCCCAGGCTGGCTGTCAATCTTAGTTCTGCCTCCCACCAGCAGGAAGAGGGGGAATGCACCACAGTACAGACTGCTGGACATGGAGCACGTGGTGGGTTAGCAGGGGTGCTGGAACAATTTTTACAGTGGAAGTGCTGAGAGCCATTGAACCAAACTGTAAACCCTGTATATAATGGAAACCATTTCAAGCCATGGGGTACGGCAGCACATATGGGGGTGAGAACCAATTCATCTACTTTGTTACCCTCTTGAGAACAATCTGATCCAGGGACAATGTGCGAGCCCGTTACGAATAGACTTAGCCTGTCTGTGATATGTCTTCCTCTTCTTCCAGGCAAGTAACCTGTGCTACATAAGGCATCAAAAAGAGATCACCCTTGTGAGACATGCCTTCTCTTTCCCCTTGGGCAGATGGCTCATGTATACCTTCCCACTTACAACCCTTCATCACAAAGTCCTAATCAAGCTCAAGAGAAATGAAGGTTCAATAATTCTAAAAGGCTGACAACATCTAAGATAAATATGGTTCTCCACAGTTAGGGACAGCAATGACCAGTCCATCAGCTATGGAGGAGGCCAGGTTCCCACTCAGGCAGATCACAAAACAGCAGCGAGGGTGGGTCTAGGGCTCACACAGCATAATGATGAGAATCTACACAGGCAATTTTCAGAAGAGAACATGCTGTTTACTCTCCCTTCCAGTCCATTAATGAAGGGGCTAGATAAGACCAGAACTAGCATACCACCAAACACTGTGGGTCCCACTAGACACCTCCATCTATGTGAGTGACATATCCAACCCTATTTGGATTTCCATTTTTGTGACATGTAGATGATGTGTTCTTTGAGTTTGTGTGCAGAATAAGGTTACAGTACATGTTTCCTTTTACCTCTCACAAGAAACTCCTGACCATCAATCTTGGATTCGCCTTTGGGTTTCTGTAGGAGCGAGATCCAGTGATGCATCTCCTCTGGGGTGTCGCTGTTACAGTGAATCACTCGATTTGCTGTGATGATCACAAAGGAATTTGGCCTGCCAGAAAACATGAGAATTAAAACTGGTCGTATCAGATCCATGTCTGGAGCAAAAGCACCATTGAGACAGAGCACATCTCTTCAACCATCAGCCCCTCTGCCAAAGTGCCTGCATAGCCATAGCCTGAGCCTTCACCTTTAACCATCAGCCCCTCTGCCTCAGCATAAGCAATGCCAGTCAGACCTATGGAAAACATACTATGGAGAGTTGGGGGAACATTTAAACAGGGGAAAGAGCCCCCCCAGACTGGATTACAAATTGGGGGGAGGAGTGTATTCAGACAGCAGGCATGTGATCTGTAGCACACACCAATCATAATAGCATAAAGATGCCTCTCATGGACTCCTGTCATCCTCCCTCCAGTCCCACTGCTTGGTTCAACAGAAGCTGAGGACCAATCCCTCAGTACTTTAGTGAGAGAGACAGAATTCCTCCTAGGACAAAGAAAGGCATCTTAGGTGGCAGATCTTCAGCTGCTGTAAATTGTCATAGCTCCGATGAAGTCAATGGAACGATGTCAATTTGCACCAGCCAGGGATCTACCTCAGAGTACTGTTAAGGACAATTATAGAATCATATAAAATTAGGGTCGGCAGAGACCTCAGGAGGTCATCTAGACATATCCCCTGCTCAAAGTAGAACCACCCCAACTGGAACTTGACACAATTGCTGCTTGTTCTGTCATCTGCCACCACTGAGAACAGCCAAGCTCCATCCTCTTTGGAACCTCCCTTCAGGTAGTTGAAGACTGCTATCAAATCCCCCCCCATACTCTTCTCATCTGCACCAGCCCCCTAAACATTTTCGTTGCCTCCGCTGGACTCCCTCCAATTTGTCCACATCCTTTCTGTAGTGGGAAGCCCCAAACTGGACACAATACTCCAGATGTGGCCTCACCAGTACTGAATAGATGGGAATAATCACTTCCCTCGATCTGCTGGCAATGCTCCTACTAATGCAGCCCAATATGCTGTTAGTCTTCTTGGCAACAAGGGCACACTGTTGACTCATATCCAGCTTCTTGTCCACTGTAATCCCCAGGTCCTTTTCTGAAGATCTGCCGCTTAACCAGTCAGTCCTCAACCTGTAGCAGTGCCTGGGATTCTTCCGTCCTAAATGCAGGACTCTGCACTTGTCCTTGTTGAACCTCATCAGATTTCTTTTTGCCCAATTCTCCAATTTGTCTAGGTCACTCTGGACCCTATCGCTACTGTCCAGTATATCTACCTCTCCCCCCAGCTTCGTGTCATCTGCAAACTTGCTGAGGGTGCAATCCATCCCATCATTCAGATCATTAATGAAGACGTTGAACAAAACCGGCCCCAGAACAGACCTCCTGGGGCACTCCACTTGATACCGGCTGCCAACTAGACATCGAGCCGTTGATCACTACCTGTCTAGCCAGCTTTCTATCCACCTTATGGTCTATTCATCCAATCCATACTACTTTAACTTGCTGGCAAGAATAATGTGGGAGACCGTATCAAAAGCTTTGCTAAAGTCAAGATATATCATGTCCACCACTTTCCCCATATCCACAGAGCCAGTTATCTCATCATAGAAGGCGATCAGGTTGGTCAGACATGACTTGCCCTTGGTGAATCCATGCTGATTGTTCCTGATCACTTTCCTGTCCTCCAAGTGCTTTAAAATGGATTCCTTGATGATCTGCTCCATGATTTTTCCAGGGACTGAGGTGAAGCTGACCGGTCTGTAGTTCCCCAGATTCTCCTTCTTTCCTTTTTTGGGCACTATATTTGCCTTTTTCCAATTGTCCGTGACCTCCCCCAGTTGCCACGAGTTTTCAAAGATAATGGCCAATGGCTCTGCAATCACATCAGCCAACTCCCTCAGCACCCTTGAATGCATTAGATCCGGTCCCATGGACTTGTGCATGTCCAGCTTTTCTAAATAGTCCTTAACCTGTTCTTTCATCACTGAGGTTGCTCACCTCCTCCCCATACTGTGCTGCCCAGTGCAGCAGTCTGGGAGCTGACCTTGTCTGTGAAGACCAAAGGAAAAAAAAAAAAAAAACATTGAGTACTTACTTCAGCTTTTTCCACATCATCTGTCACTAGGTTGCCTCCCCTATTCAATAAGGGTCCCACACTTTCCCTGACCACCTTCTTGTTGCTAACATACCTGTAGAAACCCTTCTAGTTACCCTTCACATCTCTTGCTAGCTGCAACTCCAATTGTGCTTTGGCCTTCCTGATTACACCCCTGCATGCTTGAGCAATATTTTTATACTCTTCCCTAGTCATCTGTCCAAGTTTCCACTTCTTGTAAGCTTCCTTTTTGTGTTTAAGATCACTGAAGATTTCTCTGTTAAGCCAAGCTGGTTGCCTGCCATATTTGCTATTCTTTCTGCACATCGGGATGGTTTGTTCCTGCGCCCACTTCTTTAAAATACAGCCAGTTCTCCTGGACTCCTTTCCCCCTCATATTAGCCTCCCAGGGGATCCTGCCCATCAGTTCCCTGGGGGAGTCAAAGTCTGCTTTTCTGAAGTCCAGGGTCCATATTCTGCTGCTCTCCTTTCTTCCTTGTGTCAGTATCCTGAACTCGACTATTTCATGGTCACTGCTGCCCAGGTTGCCTCCCACTTCTACTTCTACTTCCCCTACCAATTCTTCCTTGTTTGTGAGCAACAGGTCAAGAGGAGCATGGCCTCTAATTGAGAGCATTCACTAATTTCTAAGGAGTCAGAACTGAATCTGGGGGTGGTGGGGGAGGGGAACCTCTGTATCTGAGACACAGTGCTGTGGAGCAGAAGAGAGTCAAGCCAGACTTAGGAAGCAGAAGTTCCAGTCCTACATCTCTAGCCAGCCACCTCACTTTGCACCTGGGATTACAATGGGATAGAGACTACGGGCAAGTCTACACTCAAAATGCTGCATGGGCGCAGCTGTACCACTGTAGCGTTTTATCGAAGATGCTCTAAACCGAATTAATCCACCCGAGTGACATAGTTATACCGATATAGGTCTGTAGTGTAAGACCAGACCCAAGTATTACTCTACACGTCTTCAGTATAAAGAGCCTAGCTGAAGTAATGTCTAAAACTTTCCACCTTAATACCCAGCTAAGAATCTCATAAAATACAAAAATTCCATAACTGTACTGTGAAAGCCCCTGCAGCTTGCAGGAGAAAAAAATACTTTAAAGCAAAGTAATGCAATAAGAAACTTAAGTAGGATAAGCCCATTGTTTTTGTAGCTCACAGTGTACACTTTCAACTGAATGAAATGTGAAATGCTCCCTGTTTTGTATTCTGGTTGGTTTCATAGCACAATGTATGAACTACAGAACTGTCCTGTGTTTTAATAGGACCCTTCTTGCTTTTGTTAGGGAGCGGTAAGAGTAGAGTTTAGTTTATGATGTTGGGGAGGCCTTCCTCAGGCTAGAGCATCTACTTGTTAATTTGGGCTTTTTCTGCTGAAAATGTCTGTCTTCTAATAAAGCTTTCAAAAGTGTAAGTTTTTATTTAACTTGGGTTCCAAGGCCGTGAACCACAAAGATACTTCGGCACCTCTTTTTAGGCACCGCTGCGATCCACTAAACTCCTGCTCAGTTGCTGCCTAACCCTGTAGGTGCCTAAAGTTGCTCAGCACCTATGTTTCTTCCTATGAACATGTGCATTGCAGCCTCGCTCTAGGTCCCCAGGGGCCAATCTCCTGCCTAGGCCCCAGGACGATTCACAAACTGGGGAAGACAGGCATTCGTCTGCCTAAGTGACATGCAGGAGCACAGTCTGGTAGGCATGCTCAGATGCCACTGCCAGGTTGGGCCATCTAGGAGAGTCCACACAGAACAACTGAGGAGGCAGAGTTCCCTCACAACTTTTAGTCTTGTGGTTAGAATACTGACCCAGGATGTCAGAGACCCCCAGCTCAAATCCCCCTCCACCTGAGGGGGAGAAGGGATTTGAACAAGAGTCTGCAACTTCTCAAGTGACTGCCCTAACCACTAGGCTATGGGATATTCTGATGTGAGTCTCCCTCACACAATCCTATTGAAGTTGTTCCACTTCAAATAATTGACTAATTAAATATTAACTGGGCTAGAGAAAGAGTTAGACTGAATCGTTAGTCTATTGGTTAGGGTACTCATCTGAGGGATGGCAGAGCCCTGTTCAGAAGGGGGACTATGAACTGAAGGTCTCCCACATCCTGAGTGAATACCCTAACCACTGGTCTAAAGGAGGTCTGCCTTTCCCCTCCTGCCCTCCAGGTGTTTTGTTTCTGGCCCCACATGTGACTTAGGTGGCCAAATGCCTCTTCCCCCCACCCCACCCCCCGTTTGTGGATCACAAGAAGAGATAGGTGCCTGTCTCTGAGATCGGGAGGGACTTAGCACTGGCTAGCTTAGGTGGTTCCCTACCTAGGGTGCTGACTTTGTGGTTCGCAGTTTAAGGCGCCTCTCTCTCTCCCCATTCATCATACAGGAGCCTAGGTGCCTAATTCAGGCTTCACGACACTGAGCATCACAGCACCTAACTATAGGTGCCAAGAAAATCACAGAAGGAACACTGTGCTCCACAAAGCATGAGTCCCTATGTGGGTCTGAGCCCAAGTGACTAATAGGCTCTATCATTAGGAAGAGTTGGTGGATTACTAATGTTCTGTGAACCTCAGCTTGAGAATAACGGATCTACTGAAATATTAGTGATCACATACTGTCATGGAACTTTTCATGTATTGTTATTGTTCATATCATTAATTATTGGAGGATATTATGCCGGTAGCATAATAACTTGATTAACATTTTGGTATATGGTTCACAAATCCAATACTGAACAGATTTTGAACCAAGAAGATGGACCTAGATAAATTCATGGAGGATAGGTCTAGCCAGGATGGGCAAGAATGGTGTTCCTAGCCTCTGTTTGCCAGAATCTGGGAATGAGCGACAGGGGATGGATCACTTGATGATCATCACTTGATGATTACCTGTTCTATTCATTCCCCCGGGGCACCTGGCACTGGCCTTATTCCTAATTTGAATTTGACAGGCTTCAGATTCCAGCCATTCATTCTTTTGCTTTTCTCCAATAGGTCAAAGAATCCTTTAGAACCTTGTACTCCAGTCCTCAAAAGAATTTCTGTAGCTCTTTTCTGCACCCTCTCCAATTTTTCTGCATCCTTTTAAAAATTTGGACATAAGAAGTGGATGCAGTATTAACTCACCACTTTAGGTGCCTACATACAATATTTAAGTGCCACTGAGATCCTCAGAACCAGCTCAGCTGCCACTTAACTCTGTAGACACCTAAATTCCCAAGGTGCCTAAGTTTCCACCAATAGGCATGTGCAAAACTACCTCACTGAAACTGACCCTATAGCCTGGGGATTAAGACAGTCAACTGGGATGTGGGAGAGTCAGGTTCACTATTGCAGGGTGTATTTGTGTTCTTTGGTGGGGCAGGTTATTGTCCTAAGCTTAGAGTATATTTGCTGGGTATTTCTTGCTCTCACACTCCCTCTCTAAACCTTGAGTTTGAGTCTGTAATGCCTTTGCCCTTTACACCCTCCACTTGCATCGTTAATTAACGCTGTTCTGGCTGCTCCTGCTAGTCTCCATCCCAGATGATAATCTTTCCTATCCGTAAAATGCAGGGCATCCCATTCATATAGACTCATCTCCCACTGGAATGTGGCCCAACGTTCCACGTCATCAAAACTTCAACTTCACACCAGTCACATAGCCAGTGATTCATCACCAGTATTTTCTACCTTTTCTTGCTCGTAGGACTGGCAGGACCTCTGAGAAGATTGGTCTTTCTTCTTCTTCTTCAGCTCCCTTCCAAGATCTCTGAAGTCTTCAACAATCTGTGTAGTCCCACATGATGCTGTAACACTGGTTTCAATGTGTGTCTTCAACAGCAGAGATTTGCCAGGTGACTTCAGAATCCCATCCAATCTTGCAGTAACATTTTACATCCTAGCTCCTGTTGTCCTTGTGTCCCTTTCTAAAGCCTCTGTCCATTCTTCTTAACACAGACTCACCACTGACAATTGCTTGTCATCTTAGGCATCTTTGGGGTATAAAGTAAGCAGCAATCCCCAAGTGCATCCCCTATAGTTTTCTGTTCCATTCTCATAAGAATGGCCATACTGGGTCAGACCAAAGGTCCATCTAGCCCAGTATCCAGTCTTCTGACAGTGGCCAGTGCCAAGTGCCCCAGAGGGAATGAACAGAACAGGTAATCTTCAAGTGATCCATCCCCTATTGCTCATTCCCAGCTTCTGGCAAACAGAGACCAGGGACACCATCCCTGCCTATCCTGGCCAATCATCCCCAGGTGATTCTTCAGAGACATTCTACGTAGTTGCCTCACTATCATCCCCATTTTACAGATGGGAAATTGAGGCACTGAGCATCCAGTACCTTATAGGATGTTTGTGGAAGAGACAGAATTGAACCTGTCTCTCTGACAGGCCAGGCTAAGTGCTCTAACCACTGGATCATCATTCCTCTCTGGTGGGGAAGTGCAAATGGAGATTCCCTATATCATGTGGCCCACATAAGGACAGGGCACAACAACCATTCCTGTGAGTACCTACACAGGAAGAAGGTATCCGATAATGGAAGACTCTTTCATTTATCAGACTGACTGAGGCATAACGAGATCCATTAGCTGGCAGTTGAATTTAGAAAAAGTCAAACTGGAATGAAGATGCAGTGTTTTAATAGTGAGGGTAATTATTAACTGGAATAGCTTCCTAATATATTTAGGAGATTCTCCACCACTTGGAGCCTTTACTGGAAATTGTAGGTCTTCCTTAAAGTTATGCTCCAGCTCAACCACGAGTAATTGCGATGGATGAAAGAATCACTGGGTGAAAATCTGTGACCTGTGTTCTGCAGGAGGTCAGACTAGATGATCAGCGTGGTCCCTTGTGGCCTTGGAATCTACGATCAGGACCACTCAGTCCTTGCTCCCGCCTGGTAACAGCTCAGCAAGAAAGGGGCAATGCCATAGCCCCACCCTTCAATATACCAGCCTGCGAAGTGGGGCACGCAGACTAGGGAAAGCACCCTGTCATCTTAACGTGTGCCCCCGTCCCTGTGTGCACTGAATAGTCCCATAAGAGGCACCATCTGTCCCAGGGCTCCTCCAAGGGTGATACAGCTGCTCTACCCTACGCGGAGCACCACGCAGAGTGTGCAACTGAGCCCTGTAGATTCGTTTTGATTATTCCTCACTTTTCCTCTTTTTCCCCATTTGTTTATCTTTGCTTGAAATGCTTTGAGTTAAGGAGAATTTAATTCAGTGGGGCAGAGGTGACACACACACACACAGTGTTTCAACCTTCACTTCCCAAAACAGGTTACATTAATAGATTCACAGATTTTAAGGCAAGAAGAGACCATTATGATACTCAAGTCTGACTTCTCACAGGCCACAGAATTCCATCAAATGATAGCTGCATCAAACCCATAAGTTCTGGCTGAATGAGAGAGAATCTTTTACAAAGTCATCTAATCTTGACATTCAGACTAAGCTGTTTCCACCTATGAGATGGAAAGGGAAACAAACTTTCATTTAAAAAAAAAGTGTATTTCTAGACCTCATGGCTATGAAGAAAACCAAACTGGAAAAATTTATAGACTGAAGCAGCATAAAGCAGGAGGCTGAGCTACCCCATGGGGCAAACTTATTATTATTTAAAACAAGTTTGGTGCTGATAATGTGCTCATCCATGTGCAAAAACAAACTAAAGCCAGGCCCTGCCCCAAAAAGCTACCAGTCCAAAAGGCAATGATGTAGTTACAGTGCAGCTTATTCCTACCTGTCAGGATTGTCTGAGGCACAGACAGAGTCGATGAGCCCCACATCCAGGGTTCCCTTCACAGGGGGAGAGACAGACATTTATCAACAATGTACATCCTAAAGCAGAAACATTTTCCTTCCTCATAAAAATCAAGAACCAAAGCTTTGCTTCTAAATTCTATCAGCTTTAATACAAGCAAGTCAATGAGAGAGAGGAAGGGGGATATGAGACAGACTTCTATGTTCTGCAGACAGAAAGGTGGTGCAGAACTCCACACAGGAGCTGTGATGGTCAGTCAGCATTATGAAGCTCTGGGAAAACTGCGTCTCCACCTCCCAGTCTCAGAACAAACAAAATATATGTGTATTCTCTTCATACAAATCTCCTGCCCCTGTATTTATTGTACTCCAAACCTTGTATGGCCTCCCCAAACCAACCAAGACCACCATCAATGATGCAACTCACTTTGCCCCACTCAAACTGCCAAAGATTCCTTGTCTCTGAACGATTCATCCCTGCTCTGTCCTTTCTTAAACCAGTTTTGAAGTCTGCTTGTGTGTAAATCATTAACTGTTCTGCCCATGGTAACTGTGCATAGCTTACTTACACTGTTCAGGAACTATGTCAATGCTGAGTTGGAAATACCTGCACAAGATTGACTGAACAATAATGGCTCTAAACATCCAACTTGCCAGGAATTTGGTCCACTAGTAACTCACCACGGCATTCTTCGGATTTGCCTGTTCATCTTGCATTTCCCTCAGCTGTTGGACTGTGGCACTGTTCACTCGGCTCAGAACATTAAACCAACCACTGACAATCAGAACAAAACCAAGATTAGGATTTATGCAGTGAAACTAGACTCCAGAAGATGATCAGATTGAGAAGGAAACAGAAACCCACCATCCGATGGAAGAATTATTTCACTCACTTCTTTCCTACAACTCTCCAAAAGCACCTCAGTCCTCTGACCCTGATGGGAAGCTCAACTTTTTCCCAACTGTCCATTTATCCCTGGAATATCTACATATGCTCCCAGATACCTGGCCTCATCAACCCCTTGGCAACTGCTCCTACACTATCCAGCTCCCCAGTGCCAGTATGAGGAAGCAGAAGTGAGTTATATAATACACAGCTGTCAGTGGACTTGGGAGAGGTTTCAGCAATGAGAAGGCAAGATGGGTTGGGACTCATTCCAGAAAAGAGTTCTGACCTGCCTCAACTCCCAGAAACCTTCTTGGACTAGCTCCCTTAACTGACCTGTGTATAAACCCTAAAATCAGACCGTTTCCAACTGGTCAATTTTATGATTTAATGGAAAGGGAAGGATATGAAGTTACTTGGTTGTGACAGGGATTCTTGTTCCAGACACAAGGCTTGAGAGTGAATCAGTCCTGGAGAACCAGCAGAGAGCTCATCCCACTCTAAATTTCAGATAAGAAGCATCTGGGTTTTGTAGAGATGTCACTAACAGAAGCACTAAAACGGCAATGGTTCGCCATTTCTAGTGCAGGTGCTTTCCTCTTCCTTGGAATGGATGCTGCTATGGTGAGGCCAGGGGCTGACATTTAATACTTATTTCTGCCATCTGGCCAGGGTGCCAGAAGGGAAGGATATGAGTCATTCTCTGGGTTTACATTGCTGAGGTTTTATCAGAGGACTCTGCAGACTCTGATAAACTACAGCTTTCACGCCGACTCCTGGGTAAAACAAATTCCCTCTGCAGGTTGCCTCAGTCATTTACAGAAACCATGAATGGCTGGCATTGTTCACCTTGGATTTCAGCTAATAGACGTTCCAGTTATAATAAGTGTTGCATGAAAAACTGTTCTTATCAAAGTCCTGCTTAACTTAGGCCATATTACAGAAGCAAAAGGTAATGTATACTCTCAAGAAAGAGAGCAGTGGTGGAACAGTGGGCAGAAGGAAGGAAGTCCCATGACTACATGAACACAGACTAAATTTCCGTCTCATTTCTGAGGATGGGGAGTCCACAGATGATATTTGTTGTTAGAGAAGTATGTAATGAAGCTCAGAAACGAATCCCTTCTCATCCCAGCAGAGGAAAGTTAATGGACTTTCCAGGGCAGAGTTGAGATTCATTGCAGGAGCAGCATGGGAGAAACCCAGTAATGAATGAAGATGGATAATAAATTCCCACTTGTACCTGGCATCTTCTGGTGACTCTGCCACAATGTGGTAAATTCTGTCCTCGGTCACAATATCCAGAGCATTCTCCTTCTCATGAATATCCACAATCTCCCTGTAACACAGTGAACGGTGAGACCCAGCAAGCTGAAAAACTTCCATAAGCATCACATTTACTCCATATGCCTGATTTTTCATGCTGTACCATTCACAGTAGCAAATGAAATGAATGGTGTCTGGCATGCCAATACTTTTGTTGAAACACAGGAATTCCACTGGTCAATAGCAAGAATTTCTGAATCCCCCTTAAAATGGCTGTACAGCTAACCTATACAAAAGCAGAAGGCACGCATACCAATTTAATACTTTATTTAAACCGATCAGCAAACAGAGATTTGAATGGCCAAAAAATAAAACGGGAAGGTGGACAGGTGGAGCTATTTACAGCAGCCATGACTGCTCATTTGTTTTGTTTCTTGGTAGGGCTGTCAATTGCAGTTAACTCAAGTGGTTAACTCAAAACAAATTAACTCGATTAAAAAAATTAATCATGATTAATCACAGTTTTAATTGCACTGTTAAACAATAATAGAATAAAGTAACTCCTCACTTAATGTCCTCCCGCTTAACGTTATTTCAAAGTTACATTGCTGTTCAATTAGGGAACATGCTGTTTGGTGGCGTTTAGGACTTTTGGGGGTGGGGGTAGGAGGGAAGGAGCAGGGATGTGACATCCTCTGGAGAGGAGGTGGAGTTGGGGTGGGAAGAGGTGGGCCTGGAGTGGAGCGGGGACAGGAAGAGGCAGGCCTGGAGCATCCTCCGGCAAAGTCGGCACCTGTTCTTCTCCAGGGAAGCTGTTGCTGCTGCTGGTGAAGGTACTTCCTAGCATCCTTGCCTGCAGCGAGCTTTGCCTGTGTGAGGTAAGCCAGGGGCACTTCCCAACCACTGTACAGTACAGTACTGTACAGTATATAATGCCTTTTGTCTGCCCAAAAAATATTTCCTTGGAACCTAACCTCCCGCATTTATCTTAAATCTTATGGGAAAATTGGATTCGTTTAACATAGTTTCACTTAAAGTTGCATTTTTCAGGAACATAACTACAACGCTAAGTGAGGAGTTACTGTACCATTTATTTAAATATTTTTGGATGTTTGGATGTAAATACCGTCCAATGCCGACTACAACAGTGCCATACAAATGCCTATTCTCACAAGATCCATCCCCTATCGCCTGTCTCACTTTCAGGTGACATTGTAAACAAGAATTGGGCAGCATTATTTTCCATAAACGTAAACAAACATGTTTGTCTTAGCAATTGGCTGAACAAAATAGGACTGAATGGAATTGTAGGCTCTAAAGTTTTACATTGTTTTATTTTTTAGTGCAGAATTAACTGCACTAAAAAAATAATTCTACATTTGTAAGTTGCACTTTCACGATAGAGATTGCACTACAGTAATTGTATGAGGTGAGTTAAAAATACTATTTCTTTTGTTTATCTTTTTTACGGTGCAAATATTTGTAATAAAAAAATAATATAAAGTGAGCACTGTACACTTTGTATTCTGTCTTGTAAGTGAAATCAATATATCTGAAAATGTAGAAAACATTCAAAAATATTTAAATAAATAGTATTCTATTATTGTTTAACAGTATGATTAAATCTGCAATTAATGGTGGGGGTTTTTTAATTGCGCGATTAATTTTTAAAATAGTTTGGCAGCCCTATTTCTTGGTACTCTAGGTGGAGACAGTATGAGGGTCTGATTCAATCTCTGGGTTCTACCATTGAAAGACAGGATGCCTGGCTCTTGTAGCCAAAAATCTGTCCACAGGTTGGGGGAAGGCACAGCACTATAACACACCGACAATCAAACTCCACTAGGAACCCTGGAGTTGTCTGGAATAGCGCTGAGGCAGATGGAGTCGGGTGGGGCAGAGCACATGGGCAATGTGCTGAATTAGTGCCTCTCCTGGACAACCTCTGTCAGTGGCTACTATGCAGCCTCCCCTGGGGGGTGCCGCTGCGCCCCATCACATC